AAGTGACAGAGCCAGGTCTTCAAGGCCCTTCGGAAGGCCCGGAGTGAGGGGGCCAATTGCACCTCCGGGGGCAGAATGCTCCAAAGGGCGGGGGCTACCGCAGAGAAGCCCTGCCTTCTGGACCCTGCTAGACGGAGTTCTTACTGAGGGGGTCCGAAGTATGCCCTCTCTGTGTGAACGGGTGGGACAGGTTGAAGTCATAGGGGAGAGGCGGTCCCTTAGGTAACCTGGCCCCATGCCATGTAGGGCTTTAAACGTAATAACCAACACCTTGAATTGGACCCGGAAGCAAACTGGTACCCAATGACATCTTTGGCTTCCAGCTTCCTGGCATCCAAATCAGACTGGGCTCTTCCAGCCCTAGTTTGCTTCTATTGGTTCAATATGTCTTCATAAAGCAGGCCAGGTAAAAGGAGCCATGCCCATCTCACAAGCTGGACCCAGAAGATCCCATTCCCCAGGGCTGGCTTGACCACACCAGCTACTCCAGAGGTGTCCTTCTTGGTGCACTGTGACACAAGAGGCAAGGCCCACAGAGCAGCTCTGGGCCTCAGCTCTGCCACCTTGGCAGATCCAGGATGTCAAGAGAAGGCCCTCTTTCTTCCAGGTCCCCCTAGAAGCCAAAGACCTTGGCTTGGCTCCTGGGGAAGAGGCTTCGAGGCAATGAGTTGAAGGGAAGGAGGACTTGCTGCCCTCGCTCAACCAACTCCCATTAAACTAGCCAAGGATTCTTAACACCACCTTCCAGAGCACTCTCCTGGTACTTCTTGGCTGGAGGTGAACCTCAAGGTGCAACTGAGCCCCAGGCTGGAGAAGACTCTTCTGGGCTTGTCACAATACCCTGAATCTCACTCCAGGCACAAATGACCAGGTTTAAATTATCATAATTTGGACACATTAGGTGAAGACCCAGCTCCCTTGAGAAGTCCATAATGCTGGGGAGGGTGGGAAGAAAGAGATGAAGAGGGCAACAGCAGGAAGGTGGATGGACATCACCGCATCAGTGATGGGGGCACTATTGGAGACCTGGAGGACCAGGCTGGGAACAGAGCCTTCTGGAGAAAACCATCACCAACCTGATGGCACATAATCAATCAATCAATCAATCAATCAATCAATCAATCAATCAGCGAGGCCCCTCAGTTGATGGGAAGGACCTAGAGAGAGGGTTGTAGTCTATCAGGTGCCCAGAAATAGTTTAAATAGTTTTTGTACTCCCTCTTACTTTGCCTCTGGCTGCTGTCAATCATTTTCAGTTAATGGACTGAAAAGTTGGGTTGCGTGGGCCTTGCTCCCCGGGAAGTGCGTGGAGGACTGGATCTGGAGAAACCTTTTCCCCATCCCTCTTGAATCTGTGTCCTTTGCTGCACTCAGTCTGTTGACAGATCATAGTTCTTATGGCAAGTGTTACGATGTGTACGCAGCAATTGGTGAGAAGGGGCATTTTACAAATACATGGTCTCTCTCTCCCCCTCTTGCAATTGGAGCCCCCCATTTCCCTCTGACCCTAAATCAGGGCTGGCAGGAAGCAGTATCAGAACTCCAGAAGAGATTCTTCTGCCTGGCACGGAGGGACGACCGGCAGCTGCCGCCAAAGGGAAATTTCTGATGGCTTTGCAAAGAAGAGATGCTGCAATCCACATTGGAGATTGTCTGGTCAGCAGGGGATCTGGGAGAGGAATCCCCCACTCCCCCCCCTTCGAGGGAGAGAGGGGGATCCCCCTCCCCGCCAGGCATCTCCTATGCCTGGATTCTGGTAGACCAAGTGGGGCTGGGTCCTGGGCAGAGAGGGCACTCTGGTGCAATCTTCCTTTGGAGCTTTTCCTCACTGGTCAGATCTGCTTCCACCACCATCCCAGGTTTCTTTGCTCCACCTCTTGTCCTTCTCATGACCTCTTGGCTGCAGCCTCTCACCTGGGCCTTCCAGATGTGTGAGGCTACAGTCCAGTATATGGGAAGGCTGACAAAGGGAGCTGCTGCTGGCGTCTCACCTGCAAGTGTTGGCTTGTCCAAGACTCCACCGAGAGTCCAGCATTTTAAATGCACCATCGGGGCTCCTTGATCACACCCTGCTCCCGATCTGAATTAGCCCTTGCTTATGGCTTTGCAGAACACACTGAACCACTGTGGTGCTCTACCGGTGTTAGGTTAGGTGGGATATTGTTGTCTGGACACCTAGTTCCTTTGTGTTGTTCTTCCAAGTTGTAAGCCACCCTGAGTCATTCTAGAATTGGGCAGTCTCCAAATCAAAGGAAGAAAGGAAGGAAACAGCCTCAGTCTGCCACAAAAATAAAATAACCAGGGTTTGAACTAACCCAGTATTCCACATTGCGCAAATACAGCTGCTAGATTTGTGAGGGCTTAAGTGTGTTGTGCAAGTGGTTGACCTGGTTAAGTGTGCTGCGTGAGCACAGCCACTAACTACATGGCAACTTTAGAGAGACTTGGGTTGATTCTCCACCCCAGCTGTGATTGTCTCCTGCAACATTTGAGCTTTTTAGTCTAGAAAGGGAGTGAATGAGAAGGGACAGGACTGAGGTGTATAAAATGAATGCATGTTGTGGATAAGGAGGATAAGAGAAGCTACCGACCCCTTCCCAAAATCCTAGAACCAGAGGCCACCCAATGAGATGGACTCCTGGAAGAATCAGGACAGACAAAAGGAAACACGTTTTTCACCCAATGCATAATTCAGCTTTGGAATTTGTTACTACGGGCTGGATCGTCACCAAGATTTATTCCTCAGACTACCATTAAGCCAACTGCTCCTTCCTTGAAGATCCGTTTTGCAGAGCTCTGCCAGCCCAGGTGTTCTCTCTGAGTTCTGCTCGGAAGCAGAGCTGTGGGGAGGGGCGCTTTGGCTCCCAGCTCAAGGCCCCAGGTGCGAGCTGCTGCCTCTTGCCCCCAGGATCTCCCCGCAGCAGCCGGCACACCTGGTCCTGCTCGCAGCTCACTCCCCCGCTGGCCAATGCTCCGTGACCGGCAAGGACCCCCGATCCCAACAGGCCCAGGAAAGCCAGGGAGGTCTGCCAAACGGGGCAAGAGCCACCGCCTGGCTCCGGGGCAGGGACAAGGCTGCTCGCCGCCGCCCCGTTGGCCTCTATACCCCTTGCAAAGGACCAGCCGGCCCTGCCCTGCCCGGGGGCAGCTTTCCGCTGGCTGCCCCCCCTCCCCGCCCGCAAGGGTGCGGACTCTCCCGCACCCCTCGCGATGCGCTCAGAGATCGCTCCCTTCGCCCGGGGAGCTAGCAGCGACCTCGCAGCCTGTCCAGGAGCCCGGGCTGCCTGCGCGCGGCCTCCCCCTCCTTCCGCGCGCCGGGCCTGTGCCGGGGCTGCTCCTCCTGCTTCTTCGGGTGCGGGGCGCGCGCCTCCCCGGGGCCGCTGCCCGGGGGCCCCCGTCTGGGCTTGCAGCGACTCGCCGGCGCCTGGCGCTTCCTCTCCGAGTCCCGCTGCGGGGCGGCCCGGCGCGCCCGCGCCCGCTCCCGCTCCGCGATCTTGGCCTCCCGCAGGGACCGTCGCTCGAACGCCTCCACGATGCGCGGGACCCGGTTCTCCGCCTGCAGCCGGGCGGCCACCGCCTCCGCCGAGGGGTCCGGCTCGTCCTGGCCAGCCACCAGCTGGGCCCGCGGCCGCTGCCGCTCGCAGAAGAGGCAGGAGCAGGTGGCGGGGGAGGTGCTGGCGTCGTCGCAGGAGACGATCCGTGCGGCTGGCTGCGTGGGAAAAGGAGGAGAGGTTGCAGGGTGCCGCGCTGGGGCTGCCAGCAGCGGGCTCCGCCGCGGGGACGGTAACAGCCACTGCGCAGGACAGGCGGGCAGAGGGCCGGCAGACGCGTCCACGAACAGCAAGACGCGGTGGAAGCCCCGTAGCCTCACACGGACAGACTCAACCATAGTTTCACCTGGGAGCTGTTAGCACCCTAGACCAAGCTAAATCCACAAACGCAAATCAGCCATCAAAGACACAGAGATAAACCACATTTACACACCATTCAAAAGAGACAATAACAAAGCTAAGAAGGAAACCAAAAGACCAGAACACATCCCCTCCAGCAGCCAACCCCCAGATAAGCAGGGATTAACACCAGACAAACGATCACGATCACGCAGAAAACAATACCCTAATCAAGGAGCTACCAAGGAGAACCCCCCTCCCCCAAAGCTGGCAGGGCAAGCTACACAGTTGCACAGCTTGCACGGGCGGGGGGGG